AAGAAAAAAAAAGGGCGTGGGTGCACACTTTAACTAACTCCAGACCAACACTCGCACCCACACTCTCAAGAATGACCGAGATCAGAATTGAACAATTCAATGCAAAAAGGTCGATTCAACTTAGTTCAAATCTTAAATTGAGTGTAATCACATCATAACAATTTTTAAAATTGATGAATTCAGTGGAGCTGAATTGACTAAAACATTTCAAAAATTGCAAGTTTAGTCAAAAAACTCTCTTTGAATGAATTAAATTAAATTGCATGTAGTTGGTCGTCTGTATATCCTGGATGACTAACTCTGATCAGATCTTAGCAATTTTTAATCGTCTCAATTAACTTTCATTCCTATCAGAAACTCTTAATTCTAACAAAACTATAGTCTTTGAAATGAAACAATATTCTTACAGCTTATGTAATAATATCCGCCAGTTTTTGAGCAATACTTTGATGAACAGTTAATGAATAAGCTTTTGCATCTTTTATTTGATTCATCGTTTGTTTTTTAATTTCACATGATTCTTCAATTAATTTTGTTGCATCTTGATATACTTGTATAACATCTGATGTAAAAACAAGTAAATTTCCAACAAGTGGTAAACTATTTTCATTCAATAATGTTGCTTCTGTTGAAATATTTGTATTATTTAAATTTGAATTAGATGAAGTTATTGGATTATTTTGAGGTGTACGTGGTAGACGAAAACCAAGAGTTGATAATAGTTGAGGAAGTACTGTCAATGGTGGTTGATGTTGTTGTAAATTATCTAATCTATAAAAACAAACAAACAAATAATATTGCATAAAATGATTATTTACTTTTCAAAAAGTGCCAATTCAAATGTTCTCTACCAATTTTAGTTACATGTTGACGAACTTCATCAAGTTTCTAAATATTTTAATTAATAAAAAAAAATCATTCAAGATTTTTTATATCTATATTTGATCAATAATATTAAATGATATTTTTCTGCAGCAAGTCTATCATCAACACCATCAGGTTCCTATTGATCAGAATACAAATATCTTTTAAAAATATAAAATAAAACTAGCGCTTCTCGTTTTGTTTCTTTTTTGTATTTTAACACTCTCTTTATTAATTATTAAGTCTTTTCGAATATGTTCAATAGCTGCTTCTGTATTTTCTTTATGTTTTAATAAAGATTTTATTTCTTCATTAACATCACTCCAACATAAACGTAATTTACCAACAACAATACGACATTGTCGAGCATAAAGAAAAGCTTCTGTATTACTCAATTCATTAAGCATGTCACGTACATATGGTAAAGGATCAATACCTGAATTAACTATTTATATTGACTTATTTTTAATTGGAACATTATCTTTGCCAAAGAGAATATTTTAATCACTTTGCTCAATCGCTTTCAGCATTAATACGAACATCAGCCATTGTCTCTTGCCGTCAATTATCATTACTAAGTAAACTTCGATCTAAACATTGTAGTTGTTGTTCAATTATAGCTGGTGATGGTCGACTTAGTCTTTTTATTCGTTTTTGTTTTAATGGTTGCTTATCAAATGTAAGACTTCTTGATAGCAATTGTTTTCCATTCTTATTATTAGTATGATCATCATCATCCTCAATTAATGATGGTCTTTGCATGTGACATGGTGTATTTGGCCGAGATGAATTTGTCATCTTGTTAAATTTTAATATTGTTCTATGTGAAACAAATCAAATTTTTTTTCTAATGCTTTTGTATATAGTGGTTAAATAATTAAAAAACCTTCTCTTTTACAAAATTGATGTTAGCGAATCAGTAACCATTATCGATTCAATTTCTATTCTTTTTTCTTCTTCTTCTTCTTTTTACACGCGACTGTTTAAAATTTTTTCTATGCTTAAAGGCATGCAACGGCTACACGTATTTGATTGCTGCAAGACTAAACATCAGCAACATTTCATTCAAAAAGTCCATGCCAACCAAACATATTGACATATGCGCAATAGGTTGCTGTTAAGAAAGTAGTAGGGTGCGGCTGTGGGTGTGAGTGTATGTTCTATCTATAACCACACCCACATATACTCTCGATAGGTATGGTACCTCGTGAACACCAAGTACATTATATTGAACAATCAATATGGTCAGTTTTTAGATGAAATAAAGAATATCTCAACATGAGATAAATAAAAGAAGAAGTTAATTCACTTTTTAATCTTATTATACACAAAAGATTTATTGTATACTCTTTCAATGTCGACTTGATTCTTAAAGAGAATCAACTTCATGATTTTTATTAGTTAATAAGATCAGATATATTCGGATCAGATTAAAGCTTTTACTTGCAAACTAGCAAATTTAAAATATAGGCTATTGTTAGCGTATCTAGACTGCGATATTCAAATTCTAAGGTATTCACAATGTGTGTAACGTACTCAATAATTAAAATTTCAGAAGATTTTTTTCATTATTTTTGGATAGAGCTTGTCGAGTTGCATGAGAAAAAATATCTTACAAAAAAGTCCAAGATACCATTATTTTCCAGGGAAACGCAGTTACCGTCACATTACTATGGTAATGTGATAGTAACTGTCTTTTTCTATATATGTTCGGTCTTCATTGATTCATTTGTACAATTCAACATCGGCAATGCATTCTAAGAAACGCCACAGTTCAGATTCCGGGTGTGGGTGGGAATATGATTAAATAGAAGACACGTACCAACATCTATCATTCAAAATTTGTCATTTTCTTTTCGACAAGTCAAATCTCATAACTAAAAATGATTTATTTAGCTATTTTTCGTCTTACTTCTAGGCATCGGAATCGATTTGTATTGACTAATAAATATATCTTATGCCTTTTCTTAGTAACTCTATGCCCAATTTAGAAACATTATGCCTTTGGAGACTAGATGATTTTTCTTTGATATCTAGTAAGTGTATTTTAAATGAAAAATTAATTAGAGCAAATTATTTAAATCTTATTCATGAAGCTTTGAAAAAAAAGAAGATATATAATTCTTAAAAATTTTTATTTGAAAACATCGATCAGTTTTTCATCAGTTTTGTTTACATATTACCATTGTTATGCTCATTCATTTTTAATTGAGATTATCATTATACAGTAGATAAAATAGCTGGCCATCGAATGGATTGCAAATGTGGTTCAGCTAAATGTCGTCGTCAAGTTCTCTTATCTTTGATCATAATTAAATAAAGAACAAAACAGATTTCGTAGAATAGTGTCTTTTTTGTCTTGTTTTTTCTTGGAAAGTGAGGAGGGCAAAAAAAAACGAATTTCAACATATGTATGTGATTATTATTTGGTTTTTTTGCTTCGTTGATAACTTAGATGGGTTTATCAAAGGATAAATAAAGTTATTTTTGAACAAAATAAAAATCTTAAGTTTTACAATAACTCTCTAGAAAGCCTTCTTAATCTTTTAATTAGAGTGATTTTTATCAAATAGGAAATCCATTTTATAATCGATTGGGCTTAAATGAACAAATCTATATGAAAAATCTTTCAATTGAAGCAATAGCATAATCAAATGAAGAACAAAATGATTGTTAAAGGTCTATTATATATGTTATAGAACGTTCGAAAGAAATGATATAGGTATTGTTCTTGTGAAACATTTTTTGCATATTAGAGAATATGTGATGTTGATTAACTAAATATTAAAGTTTTTAAATTGTAAAGAAGATTATTCAACTATTTTAATCCTTTACCACCTGGTTGGGACATTTTCGACCCGTTCAAGAAATTATCTATTTGGAATATTAAAGCATTGAATCGATATGATAATTTCAGAACATTGTGCACAGTTTTTAATCAGCTACAAATTCGAAAAAAAATTAAACTTCTTTTCATCATTCCTTGGTTAAGATATATGAGTTGAAAAACGATATTTTCTCAAGAAAATGAAAAGAATCTATTTTATTTAGTCACATAGACTGATTATTCTGATGTTTATGGGGCTAGTGCATAATTAATACTATGAGCATAATCTATTTGCAGGATAGTTTTTAAAAATTTCTTAATTATAGATATAAAAGTAATGTTTTTCATGACAATTTGGGTCATTTTTTATCCATTTATAATGAGTAACATAAAAAACAATTTTTCCAGAGTTATGTTTTCTTCAATACAAACTCATAATATAATATGATCTTCATGGTAAACACTTTATTAGAACGATAAAAGATAGAAACTTGCAGCCTCTATTATGGTCTTCCTTCTCGATGAGACTTTAACAATAGGACTGGGTGATTTCGGATTGGAATCAGAATCAATGATTCCATATTATATAGAGAACCTAATCGTATGTCATCCTCTGAAATGACTCATTTTTCAAAAAATAATTCATGATAAGTAAGTTTTCAACTTTATATAAATAAAATAGTAGTATAACTGCGAAAAAGTCAATTTAACAATAAATTCAATTTTTGTGTCATTCAAAACGAATGAGTCATTGTAGACCCATTCTGCATCTCCATAGTGAAATGACTTGGTCTAAATTTAACTACACCAATGTCATAATTAGCATTTGTAGAAACTATTCCAATGGTTGTCTCAACAATAAAGCTATTGGATGAGTGCTGGAGGTAAAGGATTAAGCAAGATTTAATATCACAATACAATAACATTTCATTTCCAAGTCGTGTCATATGTTTCGGTTGAACTTTAAAAACCGATTGGTTGTCACCGGTTTTTTATCAATTTTAAGGGTATTGAAGCTAGTCTATTTTACTTTTCATCAAAATCCTAGCTCTAAGTTTTGAACTCACATAATGATCACAGATCAGGATGAATGTATTGATTATAGTCACAAAAAATTAGCTAGTCATTAGATGGTTTAAAATTTCAAGCTCACTTTCTGAACTACGTTTAACCGACTATTAAAAACTCCTGATCTTTCGATGCAAAAATATTAGAAAAGAATCTGTTCCACTGAGATAGTTATGCGAACCATTAGCACGATGCAACTGTGAAACTATCTAGATATTAGGAAATCTAAAAATATAAAGCCTGGTATAAAACCGAACTTGATAGATCATTTTATGATCTTATGAAGAGTAGTATTCTATCACGAATTAAGAAGTCTTTCAATTATGTTAAGCAATAATTTCAAATAAGACCTTGGATCAAATTTGTCAATCCTTGATAGTTACTATATGACAAGTTTTTAAAAGAATTCTTCCATCTTTCTTAGTATTAGCATACATAGAACATGACAGACTAAAATACAACTTGTTACTATTAGAAATTTTAAGAGTTATATGACTTTCAAGTTGTATATATTTGTAGAACTTCAATAACAGACATTTTTGAAAGAACTAGTTGGTTAATTATTATGTTAAAAAGTCGTTTCAATTTAAAATTATACAGACAATTCTTTATATTACAGTTTGTATGGCATTGCATCGAAAAATTTATTTCATCCGAAGACTTACTAACGAACTACTATTGAATCTGATTGTAAATGAAAACTTATACCTTGATTCTTGATCATCGAAATTCAAATTTGTATTCTTTTTTATTTATGTAGAAGAAAATAATCTTAGATAGATTTGCTTGTTATCCGTCATCTGATTATTATTTGAAAATGAATAATTCATCTGATTTGTTTCTTTTAAATTTTTTAATTAAAATTTATCATCAGTATATATTTATAGATGAATTAACAAAGCATAATTCATCGAAAGATAAAGTCTCAACACATACTCGACGTATTCGTTTTGATACAATTATTTTCTGATTATCATGATTGTTTTTGACTATAAATACTATCTAGAACAACGACACAAATTTTAATACCTTCTTCAACAGCAAATAATGAAACTATCGCAATCGCTGATGAAGATATTAATCTTTCATCTATCTATTTTAAAGAAAAAAAAGCATGTGAACCATCTGATTCACAATTAAGTACAAGCGAGTGACCTATGATTGAAGTGAAAAAACAACAAACTTAAAAATAAAATTGCACCCTTTTTTTCTCTATTATTGTTGTATATTCAATGTGAAAAGAAGATATGCTCATAAGATTGAAGAATGACAAAAGACTAAAAATTTAAATGTTTTAATTTTTAATTGCATATAAATATTTCAGAAGAATTGAATGCAAAATTATTTTTTAATACTCGTAATTAATGTTGTAAATAAGAGAAGACTCATTCGTAGAACAAAATAAAAATCGTTCTTTAATATCTTGACAGTTTCGTGACTTTACATTCATTTTTCTTCGAATTTAAATATTCAAGAATTTTTTTTTCTTACTATGTAAACTATAAACGAGAGTTATAAGAACTTTACTAGGAAATTTGAGAATGAGTATTTATTCTAAATATAAATATTTAACTTTACGAAAGAATATTTACAAATAAGACATTGAAAACTTTTATATAAATTATTCTTCATATTATATTCTACGTAGAAGTATCTTCAATATCTTGTCAAATGTTTATTCATTTTCATAGACTTTGTTTTGTAAATTGTCTTATTCGACAATCACTTTCAATAGTTACTAGCAACTCTATAGTACCTTCGTCATTCATACTGATTTGTATCGTAGGCAGTGGTCCATCTAATTCTTTACTTACACTTCGTCACACAATGCCAGGAACAATTGATATTATTGAAAAATTATCTCCATTTTTTTATCCTGTTCGAGATGATGATGTTATATCTG